CATGCAGAAGTCTATGCATAACTTTTGTTTGTTTTTTTGGTACCGGAGATAGAACTCGGGTCCTTGCGCTTGCAAGGCAGGCCATCGAACTGCTGAACTAAATCCCCGGCCCCCTATGCATAACTTTTGAAGCCCTTGTAACTCCATCCAGGATCTGGATTTGTAAGCATTCTTCCCTCCCAGCACAGGGGAGGTACACAAATAAATCCAAATTTCCTCTCTGGTATTTCCCTATAATTTTAACCTAGCCAATTCCCTTCTGCTCTCCTCTCTGACTTTTCCAGCCCTCTTTAGTCTTACTTGAGGTGAGATATTTTTTTACTGTCCTTTGCTGCTTAGCTGTCTAGGGGAAGCTTTAAAAATGTAAACTGGAAACACTTAAAGATAATTAATAGGTAAGGGGAGACATAGGGACAATGTTAATTGTATCACTGGATTTAAAATTGAGATAGGAAGAATCTCATTTAAACCTAACTTCAGTATTCATTTGAAAGCCTGACAAATTATTGTCCATAAATTGTGATTTATGTTCTGTGGGTTTTTAATGAGGGCAAGTGAGGCAGAAAAACACTTGCCAATTCACAATCTAGAAAGGAGCAGGCTGGCCTGCCTCCTCTCTGAGAGCAAAGTAGTTGAAGGGCATGAAATATATCCAGAGATCAGGCTGTAGTTCAACTCTTTTCCGCCTGTGTGATCTCAGTTTCCTCATCTGTGTGACAGCAGCAACATTAACATCTCTCTCTACAGGGCTGGCGGGATGACCAAGATAATGTACGTGAAAGTGTTTTGTAAATAATAGTGCTACATAAATGCCAGGTGCTGTCATCTGTTAGTACCCAGCACGTAGTGTCTTGTGTCTGTGCTAGGTTCGGGACAGCCAAGGGATGGGACAGGACAGGAGTCAGTTTGGCAAGGAGCAAAAGGACGCTGCACAAACAGGAATAACTGTGAGAGGGGATTATCTTGAGCAAATGTGATGGATGTGTTCTCCGTCCCTACTACGGGATCCAACTTCTATGAGTGGCCTGTCTGTGGGCAGGAAATACAAATCCAGAAATGATAGTCAGGATGCAAAGTCAAAACACCACGATGGGGTAGGGCAGGACCCAGTGCCTAGTTCACGGAGCTGGCGGGAACTGAGGGGGCAAGACAAGGGTCAGAGGAATGACTACTGAGAGACACAAGTCTGAATGGCGCTTGTGTGAGGGGCAGAATCTGCAGGGACACTTCAGTGTCAAAGGCAGCAGGGACAGACAATTGAATCACTAAAAATGTAATGAATATTGATGGAGTGTTTACTGCATGCTGTGCATTTATTCACAATAGTGAATTAAATAAGACACTGAAGCAAGGTGTGGCGCCGCCTACCTGTACTCCCAGCTACTCAAGAGGCTGAGTTGGGAAAATCACAAGTTCAAGGCCAGTATGGGCAATTTAATAAGATACTGCCTCAAACAAAAACAAAAACAAAACAAAATGGCAATGAGAAAAACTAGATATTGATATGTTTTCTCAGCCTGTGGACTAGTAGGATAGGACAATAAATAGGCAACCACTGACAGCGTGACAGGTGTGGTGGGAGGGCCTTCCACCAAGCCCTGCCTGGGGTGGGGATGGTTCACCTCCGGAAGCCCCTCAGTCTGAGCCAGAGGGACACGGTGAGGGCCTCTCCACACCGCTGCCTCCACTGGCATGTTCATGGAGTTGGGCCTTTGCAGGGGGCACCCAGCTGGGGGTGAGTCTTTCCTGGCTCCAACATACACGTCCCGACTTCCCTGTATGTCTGTCTGACTTGTTTATGGGTCATTTTTCCTGACTAGATTGTAGAACCGTCCCTTTCTAGCCCCTCAAGAGCTGGGAAAATAACTTCCTCTTTTCAAATTCATTGCCTACTGGTCTGGCTCATTGAGTAAAATAGGAAGAGGGAACAGTTAGAAGGCACAAAGGAAGAGGGGTTTTTGACCATCCAGGGCCTGTCTTCTCCTGAGGCTGTTCTCTGGAGCGAGTGCGGTGAGCTATCTGATGCCATGTCTTTTCACAGGTTTCTGCTCTGTCCGAAGCAGCTGCGCCTCTCCTGCATTTGGAAAGATGCCAAGGACCAGTAGCCAGGGACCCAGAACCCAGGCAGACATCAGAGCCCAATGGCTACTGCAGTTTTCTGTGTAAGACTCCTAGGGACAGGGCCTTTTGCCGCCGTTATGTCCCCTTGAGAGTAGGCATATTGAATTTTCCCTTGCCATGGGCAGCAGCTTCTGTAGGACACTTGTCCCTGGTCCACAGAAATGATAAACAGCAGCACTGTCCACAAATTCCTTTCCACTGGCTGGACATGGGGCTTCTACAGTGCTCTCAATCTTCCCAGCAATGAGTCCCAACAATAGTATTGCAATAGGGCCAGGTTCTGTGCTGGGGGTGGACAGAGATGGCTTCTCAGGGGCTTCCTACTCATTGGGGTGGGGTGGGAGCAGCCTAAGCGGGATGACAAAATAGGTGTGTTTCCCTCCGTTACCCATGCCCACCTAAGTGGTTAGGTATGGGACTCAGCAGAAGGACCGGAGTGTGAGAATTCCAAGGAGGAGGATGTTCTCTTACAGGGAGAGGCCCTGCAAGAGGGGAGGTGGCTTTGAGAGGAGAGAGAGACTGACAGGTGTTCCAGGAGGAAGGACAAACAGAACAAGTCGCGGGAGTGGTTAGTCTCCCGCACAGTCAGGGAGCAGCCTAGGTTAGTTTTAAGAGACTATAAATAGCTTCCAAGGGTGTAGAGAGAAATAAAAGCAAAGCAAAACAAAAACGAAACGTAACAAAAATCAAAACAAAAGCCAAACCAAAGGAAGAACACAAATCAAGGCCATATTGCTGCAGGGACTTGCTTGAATCCAGGTAAATATACATTGAAGCTGTGTGAATAATTAGTAACACAGACTGAATTGACGGAAAATACTTATTTACAATACATGTCTTATTTAGTCCTTTACCCTAAGCCTGCAGATTAGGGTTGTTATTATACTCATTTTACAGATGAGATCTGGACACCATTTACTCAAGGTCACACCCCGCTGCCCCTCAGAAGGGCTTCCCACAAAGCCAGAAATTGTACCAAGGCTCCAAAGGTCATGCTTTGACCCTCTCCTGGCAGCTACTGCATGGGAGCGGGAAAGTTTAAGGGAAAAGCATGGGTGGAGAAAAGGTTTGAGGTTCAAGGAAACTTCTGTCTCAATTCAGGGGTCTGCAGAATGAACGAAAAGGAAGCCCTGAAGACTTATTCCAACTCGGAAAAAGTCCTCACTGCTGCATCCCAGAAAAGCTCAGGAAGGAAGCAGCAGCTGGGCACGGTGTTGCACACTCGTTATACCAGCAGTCCGGGAGGCTGAGGCAGGAGGACAGCGTAGGGAGACCCTTTCTCAAACTAAACAAAACAAGAGTTGGGGAGCCAGCAGTCAGAAGATCCTAACACTCAGCCATGTTGGGCAGGTGAGGGCAGAGCCATGGTCAGGCTGGATGTGTGCGCTCAGCGAAAGGACAGGGGCAGAGACAGCTGCTTCTCAAGAAGAAATGATGACTAACAGACACACAAGACAGGCGGGAGAGGTGACAGAAGGAGAAAGCAGGGCTGTGGAAATATTTTTTAGCAATACATTTAAAATCACAAAAATATTTTGTGTATATGAAAATAATATAATTACTGCTTAGCCTTAAAAAGCTGACACTTATGATACTTGCTACAAACGTCTCGTTTCTCTCTTAAAAAGAAAAGGCATGAGCTTATAGATATAGCCAGCCATTTGCCCTGTCTTCACCTGGCCTCACTCCCTTCCCCCAAGTAATCATCATCCTTAAGTTAGTATCACTCTCGCACCCTGTTAAAAAGTTTATTGTAGTCTCTTTCCCACCTTGCAAGATGGCAGGGGAGAAAGCTGAGAAGCCCAATACTAAAGAGGAGAAACCTAAAGCCAAGAGGGCTGATGCCACTGGCAGGGTTAAAAAGGACATTGTGCAGAGGGCTAAAAAGTCCAAGAAAGGGCAGCCCCACTGCAGCGGAAACCCTGTCCTGGTGCAAGGAATTGGCAGACGCTCCTGATCTGCTAGTATTCCAGAGAGGCTTGGTGTAAGAGGAAGTACTCAGCTGCTAAATCCAAGGTTGAGGAGAAAAAGGAGAAGGTCCTTGCTACTGTCACAGAACCAGTTGGTGGTGACAAGAACGGCGGTACCCGGATGGCTAAGCTTCGCAAAATGCCTAGATTCTACCCTGCTGACGATGCGTCTCCCCAAAAAAGATATAAAACCCTTCAGTCAGCACGTGAGGAAACGGATCTAGTGTCACTCCTGACGCGTCTCGATCGTCCTCGCTGAGCGTCACTGAGGCGAGAGGCAGGGTTCCCCAGGAGCAGCTGCCCAGTGGCTTGCTACTTGTGACTGGGCCTCTCAACCTTAATCGAGTTGCGCTGCGTAGAACACACCGGAAGTTTTTCACTGCCACCTCCACGAAAACCAATACCAGCATCGTGAAAATCCCGATACCTCACTGATGCTTACTTCAAGAAGAAGCCGCTGAGGAAGCCCAGGCAACGGGATGTTGCGATCTTTCACACAGAAGGAGAGATATCAGATTTCAGAGCAGCGCGAGGTCGACCAGAAAGCGGTGGACTCGCAGAATTTTTTTTTTTTTTTTTTTTTTTTTTTTCACCAAAACTCAAAGCCATTCCTCAGCTCTGGGGCTACATGGGGTCCCTTTCTGCTCTGACAAATGTAACCTATCCTCACAAATTGGTGTTCTGAATTTCTAAGAACCTAATTAAATAGCTGAAGGAAAAAAAAAAGTTTATTGTATGTATTTTTACGGTACAGCTGGTACAGATGTATTGTGTCTTTAAAATTCACTTGAACGGTATTGCCTGTATAGGTATATGCAATGTTTAGAAATTGCTGCATTTTCAAATTTATTTTATTTGTTTGTTTACTTTTTTGGTACTAGGGATCAAACTCGGGACCTTGTGCTTGCCAGGCAATCGGGACACCACTGAGCTACATCCCCAGCTCCTCATTTTTATTTTGTGTTGATGCATGTGTGCAATACATAATAACTACATTCCTCACGGGGAGTTGGTCCCTGTATACACGCATCTCAATTCTATTTTTTTCCCCTTCCCATCCTTTCCCTCTCCCCTCTCTCCGTTTCTTGGTCCCCTTCCCATTTGCAAAGATCTGTCACCCTATTTCCTATCGTTTATCTATTACTATGTATTTTGCTCTTTATTTATATTTTGGGTTTCTCATAGGGGAGAAATCATGCAATATTTAAGCTGCGTGTCTCATTTATTTCATTTGCCGTTATGGTCTCCAGGTTCATCCATTTCCTACAAATGACTCAAGTTATCGCCACATTATTTATGAGCTTGCCGGTGATGACGGATACAGTTCTGGCTCATTCACCTTACCCACCCTTCTATGAATAAGCCACGTCCCTTCGCTGCTGCCGACAGCTTTGTTGTCGCTATTTCTCAGTGTTAGCAACAGTGCGGGAGTGAACGAGCTCCATCCTACCTCCACGGTCCCCATGAGAGAGTCGCTCCATGGCCCCGCCGAGAAGTGAAGCCCGCTGCGTCTCCGGGTTTCCTGGGCGCTGTCTCAAAGCAAGAGCACAGCGCTGCCAGATCCCTGTGGGCCTGGCCCTCAGTGTCACTGTGCGCGTTGACTTTTGCCAGCTTGATGAGTGTGAGTGATATCATTGTTTTGTTAATTAGCGTGTGAAGGAAGGAATTTTTTTTTACACAGCAAAAACACTTATTGGTACAATTTAGACAGTGACAGGGAACTCGTATTTGTACCTGGTACATTCCATGGTACATCCCACCTTTTTTCCCCCATTCTCCCCTTCCCTTAAGCCCTCTCCTCTCCCTATGTCTAAACACTTTGTTTCCATTTTCTCTTCTGTTTTCACTTTTTTTTCTTGTCCCTTCCTTCATTTCTCCCTCCCTCTTCCCTTTTTCCCTGAAGGAAGGAATTTTTAAGGGCAAGGGCAATATTTAAAGTTTTTTTTTTCCCAGAGGGGAAAGATAGGAGGAGCTGGGCAGCAGTGAAGGTGTAATGGACAAAGGGGAGAGGGAGGAGGGAGGAGAAGGAGGGAGGGCAGGGAAGAGAAGGGACAGGCTACCCAGAGAGCGGTGTGAAGACACTAGGCGGAAATGCAAGAGCTTTTGCTGGAAACCCCAACCCTGTCGAGAGAGCAGCAGGTGACATGATCTGCTGAGGGTAGAGGATGGGGCAGTTCAGGGTCTTAGGAGCAAAGACATCAGGTTTGTTGCGAAAGCAGCAAGAGCCCATTAGGACACCGCTGAGGGGTGGTAAGGAGCTTCATCTCCTCCTGAACAATGCCTCCAACTGGTAACAACAGGCTGCTGCCTGCCTTTCCGGAGCCACCCGCCAAGGTCCCTAGGAAAATGGAGAAAATAGCACCAAGGTAATACTTCTAAGGAAAAATGAAAACCTCTAGGAAATAAGAGCGCTGCCTTCAAACGATCAGTTTACCTGTTGGTAGTGAGCTCCCTGTTCCTGTCGGTGTTCTAGCACAGGCTGAATGAGGTGCGATGGATATCCGGCAGAGCTGTACAAAAGCTGCAAGCATTAGGAAAGGAGTGGGACTAGATGCAAAACATTCAAATTCTGCTCCACCTGTCAGCAAGATAAAAAGGAAAGGTCAAGGGCGAAAAAGTTTAAAGACACCGGAATGGCTGGCCAGGAGACAAACCCAGGTCCACATGCTGCATTTAGGAAAGGGGACAGGTTTTGCTGGTTGCTGGGTGAAAGTGGGATTGAGCCTTTGCCCCCCACCCTGCCACACACACACACATGGCCTTAGGTGAAACCTCCTGGTGGAGTAAGAGGAAGAAATCTAGTGTGTGCATTTCTGCCTAAGAAACTGCACCATTTTTCACTAGCTTTGGCTCCAGCAGGTGGCTCGTTGTGGTTTGCATCTGATTTGTTTGCATTTCTGCGGCGGGCAGCCGCTGTGACTGGTTACAAAAGGGGAGATTTGCTTTGCACATAATTTAACCCAAGGGTTAGGTAATGAGTTTGCTCCCCTTCAGACAAGGAGAAGCAACACACTTCCTCCATCCTTGCCTGCGCTTGGCTGTTAGCAGGGCTGTTGCCCTGTGGTCCTTTTTAGATAGCTCTCTGATTCATGTGATCACAGCTCAGGGGTGATTCAGTGTAACTCCTGATATTGAAAACCTCCGAGTAAGACAAGCAGAATGAATAATGCTCTGTAGTGAAATTGTTAATGAATTTTCTTCCTGCTCCCAAAAACGGACTGGAAAAAAGCAGAGGTCAATGGAGCAGGGAAAGGCCATGATTCTCTGTAAATCAGGGTTTTTGATAATTCTGGAGAGAAAATAATCAGAAATCACTTTAAAAAAAAACAATTCCACATTCTGTTCTCAGAGACTGCCATTAGCTTCAGGGTAGGAGACAGCTCGACATCATTCTGGTAGTCTTAAAATAGATAAATAAGCAATGACCTTAAAAGAGAGAAAGAGAGAGAGAGACAGAGAGAGAGAGAGAGAGAGGTTATTATCCAAGGTTTAAGTAATCTTGGCTGCCTGTGATTTGCATATATATGATAAAGTCTGCCCCTCTTGCCAAGGTTGATTGCTGGGAAGCTGGACTCGTGAAGAATGTAGTTCTGCTCGGTGACAGCTGAGGAGACAGTGGGACTTCCTGTCCACTCCCCTGGGCTGGGCACGGTGCCCATGCACAGGCCTCCCATGCTGGGGTCCGTGACCTGGACCGCTTTCCTGGGTCTGTGACCTGTGCAGGTGCACAGGGTCCCCCTGTTTGGAAGGAGCCCGTGCTCAGTTTAATGTTATCTTGCTGTGGTCTTGAAATTCCTCTTCTTTGAAAAAGGGGCCCCACATTTGCACTTTGCCCTGGGAGCTGCAGATTGTACAGCTGGCCTTGTCAGTGGCTCTTTTCACGTCAGCGATTCTGTGCCGCGTTCTTCTGCCCTTTGCCAACTCTGGCCTTTTCTTGGACGTAAGGCAATAAAAATATCTAAAAGTATATAAATATATATAGTATACATATTTACATTAGCTATATTTCTCTTTTATGAAGACTTTTTTAATACCCTGATTTTAAAAATAATACATATTGGACCTGGGGTTTAGCTCAGTGGTTCTGCTGTCTGCCTCAAGAGCACAAGGACCTCAGCTCGATCCCCACTACCAAAAAAACAAAAAACAAAACATGTTAACATTGGGAAATTTGAAAAGTATAAAAAAAACCCAAAAACCAAAAAACAAAAACATCTACTCTCTTACCACTCAACACAGTGTCTTTCCAAGAGTTTTTTTATACATACTTTCATTCTGTCTTTATATCATTGGAAATATACTGAAACGATATTTTGGAAAATGTTTCTAAAGATTGTCAGTACAGCATGGGAAAACTTTTCCCATATCATTTTTTTCTTCAAAAGATTTCTTTTCTTGGCCGGGAGTGGTGGTGCACGCCTGTAATCCCAGCACTTGGGAGGCAGAGGCAGGAGGATCACTGTGAGTTCGAGGCCAGCCTGGGCTACAAAATGAGACCTTGCCTCAAAAAAAAAGATTTGTTTTCTTAAAACAGAATCCCTATGTAGCCCAGACTGACCTTGAACTCCCAGTGATCCTTCTTCCCCACCTTCCCCAAGTGCTGGGATTTCAGGTGGGGGCCACCATGCCTGATTTTCAAAAGATTTTTGATTGCTGACTAGTATTCCATCACAAAAAATCCCATCATTTACTCAATCAATCCCTTTGGATCATCTATGCTTTTTACAAACAACACTCCAAAGAGAACACACAAATACCCACAAGATTTTAAACAAAACAAAATGATTTTCTTGGGGTAAGTTCCTAGAATCAAACTTGCTAAGACCTTTATTTAATATACATGTCTCAGTTGCCTTCTGGGACCCTTTCCTGTTTACGCTGGTGAAGGAAGGTGGGGCTGGGGGACAGCTTGGAAGAGTAGGAGTAGGGGCTCTGTTTCCTTCATTCTCTGGGCTCTGCGTGTCAACAGTAGAATTTCTCTGTCCCTTAGTACTAGAACATGATGTGCCACAGTGACGTTGAGCGGAGTGAATTATCCTGCTAGTCCGGACTATTCTAAGGGTCCCCGGCTTGGTGTCTGCTATCACGGTCATGGTGAGCTGAGAGCCTGGGTGACAGGAGCTCCCCTAGCCCTTCCACATCCCGCCGCTGCAGTACCACGGTGCCATGAGCTCCTGCAGAGTTGCCACTGGGGACATTCCAGAGTGCTGGGCTTAGTTTGAGGTCCTTTTACTCTTTCCAAAGCCTTCCAGGGGCAGAACAGGAACACTGCAAGCCCCACAGCCTCAGAATGCTCACAGTCTCCCAGGAAGGAAGAGCTTCAGGGGCAGCAGCAGTCAGATGAACCCCACGTGCCAGTGAGCTCTGTTTGCTTCTGGGGAATGTGTCTGCTGGTCTGGTCTGCTCATTTAGTCTCATTTAGGTTTTGGGTGGTGAGCGGTAGATCTGTTTACTACAAGAACCTTGGCCTGTCTGACTGTGGGAAAAGCTGCCATGTGTTGCCATAGGGGGAGGGAGCCCTCTAGATCCTTTGAAACCTGCGTTGGAAAGTCTCGATGTTTCCACTCTGGCTCTGTGGCAAGGGTGACTCCCGGAAAGTGGCTTCTGCTGGTGAAGAGGAGCAGTGAGGGGTGCGTCCTAGGAGGCTGAGCTGAGAAGCGGCATTTGCAGACCAGCTGTGCAGCAGACCCCAAAGGCCTCTGAGCTCCTGGAGGGCTTCCTTTGACGCCGTGGGTCTGGGCCCGGGAAGGAGGGGGACAGGGGTCCTCTTTACATTTAACTACTCTCATTTTTTTGTGCCAGGGATGGTCCTCTCTTGCCTCAGTGATGTCCCATCTGCTAGCGATGTAGTTTCCAAGTTACTTTGTTTTTCCTGAGCTTCTTTCTGGCTCTGCCCATGAGCCCTGACCCCCTTGCCATGGTTCAGCTCCTTGCAGTCTTATGTGGGCTCTGGGGCTGGGAGGACGCACACCCCCACGGCTGGATCCGCGCCACGCGGGAGTCGCCAGAGACAAACCACCGGCCTTCTAGCTCCTCCTCACGTCCCCCTTGGCCTCGTGGGAAGAACAAAAGGCTCCGGTCTCTGCACACCACCATGAAGAATGTGATCTGGAGGGAACCGCACTGCCAGCCGCAGGCCGCCTTTTCCGCCTTTGGTTCTTCCCCACGTCAGCTTCATAAACAAAAGCTTCTCTCGTCTTCGGCTGCAGCCTTAGGACCTACAAGTTCTCTAAAATTTCCCTGGATTTCGACTTTTCAGGGTCATGATGTGCTTTACAAAAATTCCAGTACCGTTTATAAAGACCAAATTTATTTCAAGCCAAGATTTTTTATATGTTCCTGGGGATCCTATGAAAAAGTGCCTCCTTTCAAAGGGTCTGAATTTCACACAAGTTTGAGAAGTATTCTATGGTGTCTCCTCCCGCGACCAGCTGCCTTTGTAGAGCCCTGGGTCAAGGGCAAGCCCAGTGTAGTGGCCTGGTTCACTTTTTTCTTTCTTCTTTGGTGCTGAGGATTGAATGAGAGCCTCATGCCCGCCAGGCAGGCGCTCTACCGCAGAACCGCACCCCCCAGCCCTATTTATCTTTTTCATAGCAGTATGAGAGAGACCTCACTATTGCCAGCCACATTTTGCAAAAAAGGATCGCAAAACTTAGAAGAGAAATGGCTGCGCAGAGCCGCACAAGCCAGGCAGCCACAGAGGAAATGCCAGTCTGATTCCAAAGCCTCTGCTCTCCGTTTTAGAAGACTCTCCCTGTGAGAGGCATGTTCTAGGCGATGTGGAGACCAGAACGGAATGTGGTTACAAAAGTTAATCCCAACATTCCCGGTCAGTTAGTTTGTAACCCGGGAGGGCTTCTAACACATGCACACACAGAACCAATAGAGACGGGGCTGTGACAACTATCGCAAACCCAGTGCTAGAAGTGCTTGAGAGCAGAGGAAAAGACCATACTAGCTCAGCGGCTTGGGTTTCAAGAGGGAAAGAAAGGATCATTGCTATCCAAATTGCCATCTTATTGGACAAGGGCACTGGAGATACTGGAAGGGAAAGCACTGCCCTGATTTCTAAAGGAGATGAATGAATGGGGGAAGGAGATACACACAGGATGGGATGGATCCTCCTGGCTGGGGCTCTGGTGTTAGTCTCCTCACTACCACCAGGGTGGCAAGGAGAGCCTGAGCAGCTGGAGGGGAGAGGAGCAAACGGAGGTCTCTACGGGGGGGTGGGGGGCTGCAGCAAGAAAAGGTGCCAGGGGCTGGGACCCACCCAGGAGGAGGGTCTGGGTCCATAGCAGCGAGGACTGGAGGATGGGGCAGGTGGGAGCTGCTTGGACAGTGCACATAGAGAGGTCAGAGAGGTGGGCCTAAGTTCAAGGCTCGAACGTGTAAAGCTTCAACAGAGAGATGGACAGTTTCTGGCATCCCGTTTAAGGTAACAGGAGACTCTGTGAAGATGAGAAGGGGACCTGGGGATGCAGGGAGATGGGAGGGAGAGAAAGGGAAAGGGAAGGAAAAGGATCAAGGTACGATACATATACACCAATCCCCACAATGAGTGCAATAATTACGTGTTGAAAATATATCCAAATGAAGAAAGGAGGGTGAGGAGCTGTAAAATCTGAGTCTGGTGGCGTGGAGAGGTGGGGGAGGCCAGGAAGGAGGCTCTGTAGTGGGTGGTAAGAAGCAGGAGGGCTCAGTAAAGGCACGTGCTGCCCTCAGAGGAAAGGCCAAAGCCATCACAGTGATCTTCTGAGGGGCACAGGGGCGGACCCCTTCACTCTGGGACTCCATCTCCCACCTCATCTTCCCCGGCTCAGCCAGCCTGACCTCGGCCACGCTGCTCCCACTGATATAGGGGGAACAGATGTGACTCCCAACACGCTAGAGGTCAGATACGCCGTTTATGGTCTCCAAAGTCAAAGAATGAATTCTAAGGAACGACAGAGGTTAAGAGTAGGAAAACTTGTTGGGGAATAGGAATAGGAGTGGGAAACAAGAATAGCTCCTGGGAGGCAGGAAGGGTCCCGAATGGGTTGCCAATAAACCCACTTCTCAAAGGAAACTGTATAGAGCAAAATCATGAGGGGTGAGTACAACGTGGGTCAAAACTGTAATCAACCAATAAGATTACAGGTATAGTTGCTTAGGTAATATTGACCCAATAGTAACAAGGGTATATGGATGACATCATTAACGCTGGCCAATAATCTGTAGTTTTAGTCTTCAATCTTCTTGGTTTTAGCGGTCTTAGTCTTAGTGGGTGGAGGAGGATGGCCCACCCCAAATGAGATAAGGTCTGTCTGTGCGGAAGGCCCAAAGGGGCGGTACCAGTCATCTCAAACTTCTGTTCATCCCTTAGGGAAGCATGCAAATCCTGCCACTGTGATTTTAATCTTCAGATTCACCTCCAGCCACAGCTTGGATGTGTTCTCACCCTCTGCAGTGACTCTGAGGGCGCAGTGCCCTCTGACTGCCTACAGTATTTGTACCTGACTTAGCTGTCTATATCACTACCAGTCTCCGGACCTTGGCTTTCTCTCTGCAGAGCTCTTCCTTTGGTCACTCACGTCTTTTGCCTCCTTCCAACCTTTGCTCTGTGTGTGTGTGTCTTTCTCTCTTTTTTTAAATCTTATTGAGATTATTGGTGCATTTTAGGTACACAGTATAGTTACATTCATCATTGGGATCTTGTACCCTTACATGACAGAACTTGGTTCTCATTTTCTCCCCATACCCCTGCCCTGCCTGCACCCCCTCCACTCTCTGTGTCTCTTTTTCAATGAATCCCTCTGAGCCATTTTGCTTGGCATTGTTTCACTTCCCTGTTTGTTTATTTTTTTCTCCACCCACCCTGCTACACCTTTCCTAATCAGTTTCTGTTCCTGCACCTCGGGTGGATGGAAAGCTCCTTGAGGGCAAGGATGTCTGTTTTGCTCACTGCTGACTGTACTGTGCACAGCAGTGCTTGTCATATGGTAAGGATCAATATATGTTTGATTGAGTATTTGAATTTCAATCCATGAATTATTGAATTTCATGGATAAAAGGGAAACTCCATGAAGACAGGATAGCAGCAGCAAGGCTAGGAAAGGGGAGATGGGCAGGCAGGAAGGGAAGTACCCCAGAGCCTGGACTGCTGAGTGTAGGCAGGACCATCTCAGCTGCTCCGAGAGTGGTTTAAAACTGTTTGGAGGAGCCGGGGGCATCCTGAAGGCACTTTGGAGGCCATGGGGGACAGGGAGGGAACTTGAGCAAAAGGGGCTCTGGCAAAAGAAAATCTGCCTGTCTGTTGTGTTTTTGGCTTCCTTGTTTTGGTTTGGCTTAATTTTTAAACCACCAAGCTCAGCAATTACACTACATTAGGGTTACTGAGTTCTTACTATGTTCCGGACGTGGGACTGAGCTTTAGAACTGGATGGTTTCATTTTACCTTTCTAATGGCTCTGTGAAGGTTACACTTCTCTTTTTGCTCTTTTTACAGACAGGGAACTGAGGCACAGAAGGATGAAGTACACACCTAGGGTAGTACTAAGTGGAGAGCAGTGTGATTCCTGAACCTACCTGCTGAAGAGAAGCAGACGAAGTGTAGGCTGCGGAAGGCAAAGCAGTACCTTAGTTACCGATGGCAGTTCTCACTCCTAGAATAAATGGGGGGAAGGGCCATCCACCCGTAGCACCCGCTCCCACAGGCAGGGACAAACATACCTTAAATGCCCAAACTAGCTTGCCCTGCGCAAGAGGAGAAAGGAGGAAGGGGCGGTCTCTTACCCTCCTTTGGCCAATCAGGAATGGGGGTGGAGGAGGTGGGCGTGTCCCTCTCAGAGAGCTCCCCCCCCCCAAATTAAGGAGTTTCCCACCAAAACTAGAGGTCCCTCCAACTCAGAGCGAGGAGCAAAGTGGACAGAGTTAGCGACAATAAGAGCAGAGGCTCAAACCAGTGGAACCAAGCTGGGTTTCTTGGTGAGGCACATCTGTAATCCGGCACTCTGGGGGGCGGAGATAGGAAGATTTTAGTTTTGAACCCAGTGTGGGACAGCCAGATTCTGTCTCAAAATAAAAAATAAAAACAGGCTGGGATGCTGCTCAGTGTGACGGCCTTGACTTCAGTCTCCAAAACAGCAAAATAAAAACCAAACCAAACCAAACGTACAAACAACCCAGTGAGAACCAACTGCTGGGAGAGAAATGTTCTTCATTGTAGAGATCCAAACAGAGAACCTAAACTGGGGTTGGGCAGGCAGAATCTTCAGTAAGAAGTGGCTCCCGGAGGAGACAGATCCATACCCAATCTGAAAGGCAGCTGCCACCCTGATCTTGACAATTTCTGCCCCTTGAGAGTGTGGACTCAGGCTTGCCTGATTTCTCAGAATCTTTTAAAAGCAAAAAATCTGAATTTGGAGGTAAAATTCTCTGTCTTTTAAATGTTAGTACAAACTCCCCAAACACTGTGTGGCCCAAACCAATAACCTCAGAAGGCCACATGTGGGTGGCCTTGTGGGCTGTGATTTGTGTCCACTGACAAGTACTGGTAACCTCTTGGGATCTTGAGAATCTGATGCAAATATTCAGGCATTTTCTGGCAGGGGATGGGGTGGAGAAGAAGCCTGAACAAACCAGAGTTTGGATATCATTTGTGGGTATCTCTGTGCCCTGGAGTGATTCTTTTCTAAAGGCACATTTTGTAAAGGCAAGGACTTCCGGAGAACAGACCTGAGGTCTCAGAAGGTACAAGCTGACCCATGGCAACTGATAAGATGTGTGCCAAATCTGAATGAAGTGGTGAGGCTGTTGGGGTCAGTGTGTCCGCTTCTGTCTGCCTTGTTAATCACACTCCACGCACACCTTTCCTCCTGCACCTTGCTTGCCGGGAAGTTTGGACAGGAAGCAAGGAAGAGACTTAGAGGCCCAGACACTAGTCTGGAGCAAGTAGAGGAGTGGATATGAAGGGAGGGAGGGAGTCTTGATGGAAAGGGTGCTTCTGAGCTGGAGTTTGATGGGTTGATGGAATTTAAAAGCAGGGAAAAAATTGCTTTTGTGCTCTTAGGCAGGGAGGAGAGGTGTGGATTTGAAGTTGGAGACCCTAAGTGCCAAGGTTGTCTGCATCTAGGGCAGGTGCTACTTGCCACAGTTTCCCCTGCCAGCTGCCTGTATCCTGGCCAGGCTCTTGAACTTTCACAGGTAGCTGACAGCCCATCTCCAGCTCAGCCTGTTGAGGAATATGGGTCTACCTTTACTTGGTAACGGGGCAGAGCTGAACTATATGCACTTTTCAGATTGCATAACACTGGGCTTCCTGCTGCTCATTTGCCAAATGCTTGGTAGCAAAAAATAGCACTAATGGAAGTAAAAGACATGTATCCGTCTATTGCTCTGTATTCCTTACATCTTACAGAAAAGTCAGACTTTGAGAGAGTTAGGTGTCTAAACACCCAACTGTTTGGTTTCTGCTTGGCTAGCTCTCTTGAATAGTTTCTCTGGTATGCTGGCCTAACTTCGTATATACTTATCATTATGAATATTCCACTCTTTTCGGCAACTATCTACTTTTTGAATATTTATATGGCAAATGTTCTTCCAAGATTATCCCCAGTGATCATTGCTTCCTAGTAATTCATGCCTTTGTGTGGTCACATTGTTTTCACATTGAACAGCAATGACCTGTGTAACGAATACAATGTACAAAGTGTGATTTCTGACAGTAGGCCCTAGGCCCTAAAAGATTTCATGACTTCAGGGCCTGGAGGTATAGCATAGTGGTAGAGAGGGCTTACCTTGCATGTGTGAGGTCCTGGTTCAATCTCCAGCCCTGGGGGGAAAATAAGATACAGTGGTACTTTGGTTCATGAACTTCTTTCCATGATTCTAGTTGCAAGTTGGGTGAGAACTGAATCACATTCAATGGTTAGGTTCTGTATTGACCTTATGGGGGAATTTGATACAGTTTGGTTTGTGACCAGAATCATGGAGAGAATTGAGTGTGTGAGCTGAGTTTGTGAGCCACTGTATTTCAGTTTCTATTATATTCTTGCTTGTACTACTGACTCTTGGGGGGAAGTTGCCTGCCATCTTGAGAGAATGCTCAGGTAGCAATGTGAAGAGATAAATCCCTGTGGCAAAGATGAACTGGCGCCCTTGTTAATAGCCAGCAACAATTTACCAGCCATAATGTTGCCAAACAGATGAGTGTTCTTTTGCTTGATTCAGACAGAAATCATGAATTGGCAAAGCGTAGCTCGGTAGCAGCACCGATGGCTGTCAGCCTCTAGGTCGCTGATGCTGCTGGGTTGAAAATGCCAGTCACAGGACTCTGGCACTGCGGGTCAATGCTGGATGCCGACAGCTGACTCTGCTGCTGATATTTACTCGCTGCTGGTCTTTGTGGCTCTTCAGGGTAAACAGCCCCTTGCATTTGTAGCTCTTTTCTTTTAAAGCTGCTGCTCTGTCCACACTACTCAGGATACGAATCCTGAGTAGGTTTACAGGACCTTTAAACCAATACTACCTGAAAAATAAATCATGAGCAGATCTACAGGACTATAAGCGTAAGGCTTTATTTGACCAGGCCCTGTGGTGTGACACAGGGAGGTCAATGCACCAGAGGGAGCCCTCCTAGACCAACATGAGAAGCGTGAAGGGAGCGTGGCTTATCTTGCAGCTGCAAGCCTGTGATTGGTCCAAATTCAATTCTTGTGCTTACTTCAAATTCAAGCTTGCTTTGGTCAGAGAACATACAGGGTGGGTGCTGTGTGTCTGAGATTGTCATAGCTGTGGTGGCAGTGGTTTCCTAGCAGGAAATGCAGGCTGTCTGATTGACAGTTGTCTCATCTCTAAAACAAACAAACAAACAAACAGCAGAACTGAAACCAGGAAATCTTCAAGAGGGCTAGCTGTGTTAATCTCAGTTTACTGGGGTAACGGGAGGTTGGAGTTAACAATGGGCCCAGATTCCTCCTTGATCTTTGCCACTCTAGAGGAGATTTCCCTGCCACGGAGAGGTGGTAGCATCTAGAATGGCAGGAGTCGGGGAGGGATGCCACAGCTAACAGCCAAGACATGAGCCGCAAAACCCCCAGGGGTGGCAGGAGAACATGGAGTCAAGTTGTCCCAGTCCGTCCTCTGAGCAAGAAGGGGTGCATATGAAGGGAAGTGGGGCAAGGGCCACGACAGCTGTCAGCCAGCCTACTCCCCTCTCCAGCCAACACAGGAAAAGGATGCAGGTGCTTCTTATCTGTCCCCACATGAGACATCTTGGAAGTGGACCCTCTAGTCCCAAATTCTGTAAGCTATTATTTTTGAGCATATGATAAGCTGTCATATTGCTAAATAACAAGCTTAGGTTGTTCTATTTGGTTCTTTTGCTTTAGACATTGTCTATCTATTGATTTTCTACCTTTCTGTTTTTATAGTGAGAAATACCCCTTACTCTGAAACTTACTAAGTGATAAGCATTAACTTTCACAGCCATTTTTTCTCCTCTCAATATAGCATGCTTGAGTGACATTCATGCTGATATATTTATTGTATTTCATGATGATCTTATTATGCTTTCATAATGCTACTTGTAGCAGAGCCATTCATTTGTCTTTCTTACACTGTTTTATTTTTGCACTGAGGACAATTAATGTATTTTCTCTCTGCTTCATTTCTGTGTACTTATCACTAATGCATGCTTAAACTGTCTCCCAATTGTCTCAACTCTTCAATAATTTTAAACATATCAAATATTCCATCAGTTTCCTCCAGTAGAGACAGACGTGTGGAGAAAGCTTCTGAGATGTTCTGAGGCCCTCTAGGCCTGCTACATGGCTAATATCCTGCAATTTTCCGTTCCTCTCGTGCCAGCAGCTTCCTTTTCCTCTCTCCCATTTTGCATTCCCTGTTTTCTATACAGCATTACATCTACTTTTATTTCAAAGCACAGTGAAGTGCATTCTTTATCACGTTTCTCTCTTTACAATTTACTCTTCCCATCTCTGATCTCACTTTTTAAAATCCTGTTATCATCCTGTTATAGTCAGCCTATCTTTGTTTGCCACTTCAAAGCCTTTTTGGAATGAAGAAAGGCACGGATATGTGAATTTTACTGATAGGCAAAGGGCTAGAGGACTGGGGATGTAGCTCAGTGGTTCCGCCTCCTGCCTCGCAAGCACAAGGACCCAGAGTTTTATCCCTGGTACTAAACAAACAAACAGACAAAAAACCCCAAGACATAGAGGCTAGAGTGTTAAAGAATTGAACACAAGCCAGAATTCTTGGGAAGGGACTATGAGTGAGAAGTCAGAAATGAAAGAAGAGCTCCACAAGCCAAAGGAACAGGGTAAGTTAAGACAGCGAGGAGGGTCCAGCGCTGGGAGATCAGGTATAAGCTGTGTAAAGGCCAGGATAGTTTCTCCATGAACTAGTAGGGCTTCTTGGCTTGTCTTGTGGCTTAGCAGAGACATTGCATGGGTTTAGGAGGGAGGCGGGAGGCGTAGTGGCATATTCCTGTAATCCCAGCACTTGGGAGGTTTAGGCAGGAAGACTGCCATGAGTTCCTGGACTACACAGTGAGTTCAAGGCCAGCCCGAACTATGTAGTGAAACTCTGTCTCAAAAAAAAAAAAGTAAAAGGAAAGGAGAAGCCTGGATCCTTCATGGGCTGGCTCCTTCCCCATCCTCATTTCCCCTGGCTTCTGGCCCTGGCTTTCCCTCCTGGC